GGGGAGGGGAGACGCCCCCTGGCACTTTGGGAACTGCCCACGTGGCCCGTGGGGACCCCGTCCTCTCTCCTGGGCAGCCTCAAGCTGGAATGTGAGAAGCTGGCCAGCGAGAAGACGGAGATGCAGCGACATTATGTCATGGTGAGGGTCAGGCCGCCGGGCTGGGGTGGTGGCCGCTCTCCCTGCCCTCTCCCGCCTCCTCTTCCCCTCCTTGGCCCGGGGCTGGTTGGGACCCTGGCTTTCTGGCCCAGGCCCTCCCCAGGTGGCTCCCTGGAGCTGGGGTCTCAGGGCAGCCTCTCTGAGGGGGGAATTGGGGACCCCTTCCACATGCACCCTGATAGCTCTGGTCCCACTTCCGGGCCCCGGGTCTGGCCTTCACACGTTGGGAGCACCGGTGTCCCCAGCTGGGGTCCGGTCCTGTTCCGGCCCGGAGGTTGCCAGTGCCTTTCCTTTGCAGTACTACGAGATGTCCTACGGGCTCAACATTGAGATGCATAAACAGGTACTGTGGTGGGGTCCCCTGTCCCAGGGCTGCGAGGTCTGGAGGCCTTGGGAGGGAGCCCTCATGCATAGGCAGTTGGGGACCGAGGTGACCCGGCTTGTCCTGAAATCTCCACAGAGGGCCCAGTTGGGAACGGAGGAGCAGATTTTAGTCTCTGAGGAAAACGTGCTTTTCAGCATTTGGGGACAGTGGCCCGCAGCTGGAGTTGGCCAGGGGACACGAGCCCGGTGTCTCCGTTGACAAGGAGCCGTAGCAGCAGTAGGGTCAGGAGGGCTGTGGGGTGACTTCTGTCCCAGGAGAGGGCTGGATAGGTGGCCTTGGGGGTTCTTTCCAGCCCAGTGAGTCTGAAGTTCTGATGGGCCCTGAGGTTCCATTGCTAGTTTTGGAGGTTCCGAGATCCACCACGGTGGGCTGGCTGGGAGGACCTGAGTCTGTTCTCTACTTGATGCCATGCAGGCTGCCCTGTTCCAGGATGGACCCCAAGATTCTGGGGCTGTCCCCGAGGTTCTGAGCTGGATCTCAGTGTTCTGAGCCAGACTCCAGCGGTTCTGAGCCGGACCTCAGGGTCTGAAATTGACCCTGGGGTTCACGCGTTAATGTCAAGACCCTGAGGCTGATCGGTGGCTTCCAGGGGGATGAGGAGCTCTTCAATCCCCCGAGGCTTCCCGAGGGTGGCTGGGAGTGGGGTGCCTGTGGGGCACCCCAGCCTACTCTCCCAGGTGTGGAGGGCTCTGTTGGTTTGACGCGTTCAGAGGGGCTGGGGTGCTGGCCCGTGGGTGCTGACCACAGAGCCCCACAGAGTGGGACTGAGGACAAGGGGTAGGGTCAAGTCTGGCCTGCGTGGAGAGACAGTCTGTGCACACCCAGACTCAGGACAGGCACAGCAGGCGGGATGGCACGAGGCACAGCCTTCGCCTCTGGGCCCTGGCCCGGCCCCTCCTTTTGTCAGTGACCCCAGCACTGTCTTGCCGCCTCCTGCAAACCTGATACAGAGCTTGTGTGGCCGGCCGTCTCTGCCTCCCTCTGCCTCCCGGGACTCCAGGCCACCTGGAGAATCCGCCCCGCCTGAGACTTGCTAGCCTCTGTTTCCCTGTTACACTCAGAGGTGTCGGTTCCTCCCCCACCTGGTTCTGAAAATGCTTTTCACCTGGGAGCCGGAGGCCGGGGTGAGGGTCCCCAGTGCCCCGCCCCCATGCCCATCTTGTTGCCCCTGCCAGGCTGAGGTCGTGAAGCGGTTGAGCGGGATCTGCGCCCAGATCATTCCGTTCCTGACGCAGGAGGTGAGGACAAGGTGGCAGCGCCTCTGCAGGTAGCTGGGGGGGGGTGCAGGCTTGGAAGGCGACTCGGGCTGGGCGAGAGGACACGGGGTGGTGCACAGCCATGGGGTGCACTCAATGCCACGGAGCCGGGTGCTCAGAAATGGTAAACTTTCTTACGTGGTTTTTAACACAGCCATTTTAAAAAGATGAAATTAGGGCCGGGGTTTAGCTCAGTGGTGCCGCCACCTGCCTCACAAGTGCAAAGTCCCGAGTTCGATCCAGAAAAAAGAATGAGCAAAGATGTACAATAACTGTGTGAGTACCTTATTGAAATTGCTGAACCAAAGTTAGCCCTTGTGGCCTTCACGCCAGCCTCGGGACCTTTTAATAGATGGTTTCTGTTTCTCTGGCATCTGTTACTGAGGGTGGGGTCAAAGGGGCTCAGGCCGAGAAGGGTGAGACCTCCAAGAAACGGGAATGAAAGGCTTTTGGGAAAGAGTGAAAAAAGGAACACATCTGCCCCAGCAGCTACCATCCCCTAGGACAGGAATCAGCTGGAGGGCCAAACCCAGTCCTTTGCTTGTTTTTGTTAATAAAGTTTTATTGGCACACAGACGTGGCCATTCCTGTAGCATGGTCTGTGGCAGCCTTCCACTGCAATGGTGGAGTCGAGCGGTTACAACAGAGACCTTGGGCCTGCAAAAGCAGAATATGTTTTTAGGGTGTGCTGGGGATGGAATCCAGAGCCTCATACGTTCCGGGCAAGTGCTCACCACGGAGTCACACCCTCAACCTTGGTATTTAGATTTTTGGGGTTTTTTAAGTGCTGGGGACGGAACCCAGGGCCTTCACGTTAAGCTACATCTGCATCCTTTTGTATGTCTTAAGACAGGGTCAGGCTAAGTTGCTAAGTTGTCCAGGCTGAGCTCAAGCTTGTGATCCTCCTGCCTCAGCCTCCCAGATTTCTGGGATGACGGGTGTACTGCCAGGCCCGGCTCCAGCCTTGCATTAAATATGTATCCATTTCATTTCGTGGCTGGTGCGTGGGTCAGCGGTAGAGCTTGCACCCAGCATGTGCAGAGCCTCCGGGCACCAAAACAAAACAAAAAACAGTTGGACGGAGTAAAAGAAGCCAGCCACATGCAGCAGGGGGAGAAGGAGCCCGAAAATAAGTCGTTCAGAAAGCACAGCACCAGCAGCTTCTGAAAGGCAGGCTGGGGGTGAGAAAGGTGGAGAAAAGGCAGGGTGAGAAGAGAGCGGGCTCCCTGGCTGGCAGTTCTATGCCCTGGCCTGGAGCTGGCACATGGGTGCTGATTTCTAACCGTGGCTGTTTCCTGGGACGTTTGTTGGTGTTATACTGGCTGCTCCTGGCCCGGTGGGCAGAGCCTGCGGCCCGTGCTCAGCACCCTGCAGTGCCCAGGACGGACCCGCAGAGACTTTGCTGTTCTCAGATGCCAGGAGTGCCCAGGGGAGAGCCTGGCTTGTAATTATTAGCTCTGTTTGTACTTATATGTTTTTTTTCTTTTCCTGTATGCGTATCTCATTTAAAAAGGGAGAGAGGGGGGAAAAAAAGCGGCCAAGTATAGTGGCACACGCCTGTCATCCCAGCTACTTGGGTAGCTGAGGCAGGAGGATCTCAAGCTGAAGGCCAGCTTGGGCAATTTGGCAAGCCCTTACCTCAAAATTAAAAAAAAAATTTTTTTTTAAGAGTAGAGCTGCAAGCCAATTATGGTGGCGCACGCCTATAATCCCAGCACTCGTGAGGCTGAGGCAGGAGGATCGCTGTGAGTTCGAGACCAGCCTGGGCTACACAGTGAGTTCCAGGTCAGTCTCGACTACATAGTGAGACCCTGTCTCAAAAGACAAAAAAAAAAAAAGAGAGCTGCAAAAATAAGATTTCTTTTATTTTTTGATACGGGGGATCGAACTTGGGATCTTGCACTTGTGAGGCAAAAATAAGATTTAAAAAGCTCAGTAGCACTGCACCTGCCTGGCAAGTGCAAGGTACTGAGTTCCATCCCAGGTACTGCCCAAAAGCCAAAGAAAGAAAGACTAAAAAGCGGCAGGCAGGATTGGTGTGCAGGCGGGTTGAGGACACCGTGCAGCCCCCCGCCACCCGCTTCTTCGTAGCACCAGCAGCAAGTACTGCAGGCCGTGGAACGGGCAAAGCAGGTGACAGTCGGGGAGCTGAGCAGCCTTATTGGGGTGAGTCTGCTCTCTGCGGGGACTCTGCCACCCCCATCCCTGGCACCAGCAGGGCTAGCGCTCGGGTGGCGGGTGGGCAGCGGGCCTGGGCTGTGGCTTCCCTGGGAGCCCCGGGCAGGGCGACCCCCTCAGACCTGGCCCGGTGCTGCCCCACCGCCCCTGGCCCACCCTCTTCCCTCTAGCAGCAGCAGCTCCAGCCTTTGTCCCACCACACCCCCCCTGTGCCCCTCACCCCTCGCCCTGCTGGTCTGGTGGGTGGCAGTGCCACAGGGCTGCTCGCTCTGTCTGGAGCGTTGGCTGCCCAGGCCCAGCTGGTGGCGGCCACCAAGGAGGATCGCGTGGCCATGGAGGCCGAGGGGTCCAGAGGTGAGTGGGCAGCCTGGCGCAGGGGCTGATGGGAGGAAGGAATAGGAGCAGTTGCGGGACTGCAGCTCAACCTTACCCTGTGCTGTGTGTCCTTGGGTAGATCCCTAGCTGTCTCTGGGCGTCTGTCTAAAATGGGTCAGGAGGAGACAATCCACGAATTACAGAGATGTGGAGGACGAGGAGATTCTGAGCTGGGAAGAAGGCTTTATAAACTGTAGAGAGAGCCAGGTGTGGGGGCACATCTGTGATCTCAGCACTCAGAAGGCTGAGGCAGGAGGGTCGCCATAAGTTTGAGGCCAGCCTGGGCTACGTAGTGAGACTGTGTCTAAAAAAAACCCAAAGTGATAAAATGTGGAGGGCTGTACCCCCAGCGCCATGGGATGTAAAACCCTGACTCTCTCTTCTTCTTTGCCCCCACCATCTGCCAGTGGAGAGAGCCCTGAGCCCGGTAAGTTGAGTGATCATGGATTCTGGGTTGCTGCTGGCCGAGGGCCTCAGAGTGAGACCCACAGCCCCATTTTCCAAGCCGGGTGGCTCAGGACCCTTACGGAAGAGCCCTGGACCGCGGGAGGGTTATTGTTTAAATCTTTCAAGCGGGAAGCGAGGTGCGGTGGCGCACGCCTGTCATCCTAGCACTCTGGAGGCTGAGGCAGAAGGGTCCTTTAGTTCCAGGTCAGCCTGGGCTATGTAGCAAAACCCCGTCTTGAGATAGAAAAATCACACTTTGATGTGTCACTGAGGCTCTCAACATAACAGCTGCCTGGCATCCACACCTGTAGCCTGTACCCTCCCAGCCTCGCCCGGCCCTGCCAGGGTCTCTGCTCTCCAGGGCCATGCGGTGGCCAGCTTGAGTCCTCCTGCCCGGGCAGCCCTGCCTGTCCTGAGGCCTCAGTTTCCCCATCTGGGCTGTGGGTTGTTCTTGCAGCAAGGGGAAGAATTATCAACTGGCGACCGCCCTTCAGTTGGGGACCCCAGGGTCCTGAACCTCCCTCCCCCCGGCCCCTGCCTCCCTACAGAGCGTTTCCCCCTCACCCCCTGAGAGTCTGGTGGAGGAGGAGCGACCCAGTGGGCCTGGGGGCAGCGGGAAGCAGAGAGCGGAGGACAAAGACCTGTCAGGACCTTACGTGAGTTGGGGGCAGTCAGGACACCAGGGTGGGTACATGTGACCCTCTCTCTAGATTCCTCCATGGCTCCCCATTGCTTACAGAGCACCAGCCAATCAGGATGAGCCCTGTGTGCCAGCCTTGACTCTAGCTCCTCAGCCGGATCCTAGCTGCCGGCTGGCTCACGGTGGGTCAGTGTGCTTCTCAGAGAAGCCGGGCACCTTTCTTCTTATAGCCCAGCTTGGTTTAGAAAGAGCAGCAACTAGTTTTAATTAAAGGAGAAATCAGAGCTGAAGGTGCAGTTGACGAGTGGACCGTTTCGCCTGGGATGGGTGAGGCTGGCCCTGGGTTGAAAGCCCTGGGCACAGAGTCAGGTATAGCACACGCCTGTTGTCCCTGGACTGTGGGAGGCTGAGGCAGGAGGATCGCAAGTTCCAGCCCAGCCTGCACAACTTAGCAGCTAAACAAGACCTTAACTTAAAATAATAAATACAAAGTGCTGGGGATGAAGCTCAGTGTGAAGGCCCTGGGTGTGAGAAAAACACGAAATAACCTGGGCACAGGCAGGAGGTCCCAGAAAACCTATCCAGCGGGCAGATTTGGATTCCAGGCTGCAGGCTGTACCTGAGGCTGTTCTTGGTTTGCCACCAAAGCAGACATCCCCAAGACAGCCCTGCGCCTCCAGGTCTAACCCCACCTTCCCCCACTAGGCTTCCCGTTCCCCACCAGCAAACGGACCGGGGCTCAGTCTCTCTCTCATAGAAGCAATAGGGAGCCACAGCAGGATACAGAGCAGAGGCAGAGAGAGGCCTTAGGGTATCTCTTTGGGCCAACGTGGAGAGCAGCCTGGAGGGAGCCTAAGGGGCCCTGGGACACCCCAGGCTTCCCTTCCAACCAGCAGATGGTTGCAGAGCCCAGGGGATCCCAGTCCTTTCCAAGGAGATGTTGGGGTATGGAGGGCGCGTGGGCAGGCTGAGTCCCTCTCCTGCCTGTGTCCCCCAGGAAAGTGATGAAGACAAGAGCGACTACAACCTGGTAGTGGATGAGGTGAGTCCCCACTCTGGGATGGGCCCCCCCCCTGGAGTGGGGCTGCGCCCCCTCGTGGTGGTGCCTGGACTAGCGGGAGGGATCGTCTCCCCGCCCCACGCTGCCCTGCCCCATGCACCCAGGACCAACCCTCAGGGCCGCCCAGCCCGGCCGCCACGCCCTGTGGAAAGGCAGCCACCTGCATCCCTGCCCGGCGGGACCTTGGGGACAGCCCGGCCTCCTTGGCCTCCAGCCTGGGCTCACCGATCCCCAGAGCCAAAGATCTCATCCTGGTAAGGACTGGGGCGGCTGGAAGAGTTCATTTATTCAGCCTGGGGTCTGATTTTGTTTCCTTTTCTTTTTGCTGTACTGGGGATGGGACTCAGGGCCTCTGCAGTGAGCTCCATGCCCAGCCCTTTTATTTTTTATTTGGAGACAGAGTCTCATTAGGTCCCTAAGCTGCTCAGACTGGACTCAAACCCTCCATCTTCCTGCCTCAGCCTCCCAGAGTCCTGGGACCATGGGCGTGGGCCACCGTGCCCGCCTCATCCTGGGGCTCTGATGCAGGCTGCCGTTCCTGGTGACCCTTTGCCCCTCATTTTTCCTGCAGCCTACTTGAAACTCAGTAAATACTAAGATGACAACTTTGTAACTAAGCTGGGAAAAATAAATATTGAGAGCAACTCACCACCTTACATGGGAATCATGGACCACTTGCAATAAGTAGGAAATCCCGGGGAAATAAACACAGCCTGAGCCCTGGCAACCAGCGAGGCGGACCTCAGGATCGCCTGAGTCCTCCAGAGCCACTCAGAGGCCAGTGGCCCCAGCCCCAGACGTCCCAGAAGGAGAGATTTTAACACAGGAGCTTTTCCAGCCTCCTCGTGGCTTTAATGCCAGGAGTTTGGACCATCCAAGATCTGCCCTTGGGTGTCCAAGGGCTTACTTTCTCCCAAATCTTCCCCAGGCCCCTGCCCTGCACTTACCCAGGGTGAGATTGTCGGTTTCTAGGCTTCCCCTGCCAACAGGTTGCCATGGCAACCACCAGAGGTTGGGGCTTCCTTCTAGCTTAAGTGTCTCCTCCCTCCTCCTCCAGGGAAACTTTAAGGGGGGTTGGAGCAGGTCCTTTCTCCTCCAGGAGCCCCCCGGGAGTCCACTCAGACCCTCCCTGTCACCTCTTTGGGTGTGGGAAGATGAATCGGACACAAACGGGATACATAGCACCTCCCTCCCTCCCTCTGTACTGTGTAGAAGCCGGGGCCTTAGCACTGAGCTCCATCCCAGCCTATTTATTTTTCATTTTGAGACCAGGTCTCACCAGATCGCTAAGCTATCCAGGCTGAGCTGGAACTTGGGATCCTCCTGCCTCAGCCTCCCAGAGTGCTGGGCTGACAGGCGTGTGCCACCGCTCCGCACTGTGATGCAGTCCTTTCAAGTAGGAGGAACTGAGACGCGAAGCCCGGGTGGCAGTCTGGCTGGTGCCCGTTTCCCTCAGACTCCCCCAGCCTAGGGACAGCTGTGCGGCCCAGGATCACACAGCACCCAGACTCCTAGACCCCAGACTCCTCCGCCTGAGAGCTTACTGTACGTCTGCCCCTTGGTGAGCCCACTCCGGAGTTTCCAGTTCCTCCCCCCAAAGGACCCAGATAAAGCCCGGCACAGTGGCATATGCCTGTCATCCTAGTTGCTCAGGAGGCTGAGGCAGGAGGATCACAAACTCAAGCCCAGTTTGGGCAACTTAGCAACTCAGCATGACCCTGCCTCAAAAAATTAATTTTTTTAAGAAAGGGCTGGGGCTGTGCTCCCAGAAGAGCACAGACCTACAGCTGCACATGCACTGCTGCCCACCTGCGGGCGTCTCCTGGACACCGTCTGTCCACCATGTCCCCCGATTTTTCTCCCACACGGGTTCAGCCCAGGTCCGTGGGCCACAAGGTGCCTGGTGGCCGATCAGCCCCCCTCTTCTCTGCAGAGTGACCTCCCCACCAGCCCTCCTGCTTCCAAGTCCTGTGACTCCTCCCCACCCCAGGAAGTTTCCACCCCTGGGCCCAGCTCTGCCGGTCACCTCTGTCAGCTGGCGGCCAAGCCGGCACCGTCCACAGACAGCCTGGGTGAGACCCTGGTTGGGGATTGGAGTATTCCCTAGATTCTCAGCTCTGTATGATCGCGGTGGCTGGGATGAAAGGAGAGACACAGGACAGAGGCCCAGAGGGGGAGGAGGCACAAGAGCCTTCGTAAGATACTGGTGGACACTGGGTCTGGGTTTTAAAGAATGAGTAGGAGTTCATACAATGGCAGAAAGATAGCAGGGCCTAGGATTGGGGTTCAGTCTAAAGACCTGACCCTTCTCACTCAGCACTGAGGAGCCCCCTGACTCTGTCCAGCCCGTTTACCACGTCCTTCAGCCTGGGCTCCCACGGCACCCTCAACGGGGACCTCTCTGTGCCCAGCTCCTACGTCAGCCTCCACCTGTCCCCCCAGGTCAGCAGCTCTGTGGTGTACGGACGCTCGCCCATGGTGAGTCCCCAGGGTGGAGACACCAGGCAGGGGCCAGCAGGACTCCTGGGGGCCAGGAGGAGAGGTGCACGGGGCCCGAGAAGGGGCCCTGGCTTGGCAAGCACATGTGGAGGATGCCTGAGGGTCTCAGTGGTTCACACGCTTAGCCTGAGTCAGCACCTGTGGCTGTGCGCACGGCTGCTCTTAGGTTGCATGATAAGGAGCAGAGTGCCCGGCCCTGGGAGGTTCTTTACAAAGCCAAGCTGTGGCCTGGGTGGGTCCTGAGGTTGTGCTTTGCAGACCTCCGATTTAGAGCAAATCTGAACATCAGATGGATCCTTCTCCCCTGGGGTTCTAGGAACCCCAAAACTTGTCCACTGGAACCAGCTCTGCTGTGGGAGGGAGGGATGGAGCAGGGGACTTGGCAGAGGCAGGGACCTGCTCTGGTGTCCCCACAGGTGGCGTTTGAGTCACACCCCCATCTCCGAGGCTCCTCTGTCTCCTCCTTGCCTGCTGTCCCAGGAGGGAAGCCGTGAGTATGGGTCCCGTCCCCTCCACCTGTTCTTGGGTCCTTGTATGGGGTACATTGTGGGCTTCCTGGATTGCCCTGGCCTCTTGGGTCCCCAGGAAGCACTTAGCGCTGTCCCGGCTGGGGAAGGGGACGCCACGCCGGCCCTGAGAACAGCCAACCCCAGGTATAGCTGGCACTCCCGCCCCGGCCCGCGGGCCCTGGACCTCCTGCCTTCCTGTTTTGAGAGTCCTCACCTCGGGGTGGTCTGGGACCTTGAAACGTGGTCACCACAGTCAGGAATGAAATGTTTGCCTTTAAGTTCAGTTCTTTTGGTTTGTTGTTTTCGTGGTGTTTGGTCCCTGAGACGGAACCCAGGGCTTCACACTGAGCTCCATCCCCAGCCGTTTTTATTTTTTATTTTCAGACAAGGTCTCTCTTAAGTCTCTTAAGTTGCTCAGGCTGGGCTGGAACTTGCAGTCCTCCTGTCTCAGCCTCCCAGAGTGCTGAGGTGACCAGCAAGCGTGGGCCACAAAGGCTTCCTTAAAGCAAGGGGCCCAAGCTCCGGGACAGAGCCTTCCCACCTCGACCCTGTAAGCCCCCTGGCCCTGCTGCAGCAGGGTGCAGGCAGAACCCCTGGGCCCAGTGCGGAGGCCCTGTCCTGTCCCTGTCCCCGCAGGGCCTACTCCTTCCACGTGTCCGCGGACGGCCAGATGCAGCCCGTGCCCTTCCCCTCGGACGCGCTGGTGGGCGCGGGGATCCCGCGAACGTGTACACGGGCGGCAAGGGCTGCGTGAAGGTGTGGGACGTGGGCCAGCCGGGCGCCAAGACACCGGTGGCCCAGCTGGACTGCCTGGTGAGGAGGGTGTGGCCCGCAGCCCCAAATGGGCCCTGGCTCCGCAAGACTTGGGCGGGGCTTGCAGTTCAACCACACACAGTTCAGGACGTACGGGCCAATCGGGAGGGACTTACAGACCAGGGTGGGGCTTACGGCCCTAAGGAGCGGGACTTACCAAAGGCATAACTGGTATAAAATAGGGCGTAATCGGGCCGGGATTTAGCTCAGTGGTGTTGCTGCCTGCTTCTCAAGTTCAAGGTGCAAGGTCCTGAGTTCGATCTTGATTCCAGTACCAGGGGAAAAAAAAAAAAAAAAGCTAAGGTGTGACCTGCAATTTTAAGAGGCGTGGTTTGCAAAACCTAGGGTGGTGCTAACCATGAAGCCTGGGCGGGGCTTACAGCGCTAAGGGGTGGGGCTTTGCCCTCCAAAGGGGCGGGTTTACCGGTAAAACCAAGGCAGGGCTGGCACCAGAAGGCGTGGCCTGCATCCCTAAGGGGCGTGGCTTGTCCTAAGGATCCTGAAGGCCTTGCAGCCCCAAGGGTTGGAGCTGTGGAAGACCTAAGGGTGGGGCCGCGTTGAGGCAGGGCAGAGGCACCCTTGGGTGGGTCTCATGGAGAGCCATGGCCAGGAGGGCCAACCTCAGCCTGGCTTCTCCTGGGGTCTCCCAGAACCGGGACAACTACATCCGTTCCTGCAAGCTGCTGCCGGACGGCCGGAGCCTCATCGTGGGCGGCGAGGCCAGTACCCTGTCCATCTGGGACCTAGCGGCGCCCACACCCCGCATCAAGGCCGAGCTGACCTCGTCAGCGCCTGCCTGCTACGCCCTGGCCGTCAGCCCCGACGCCAAGGTCTGCTTTTCCTGCTGCAGCGACGGTAACATCGTGGTCTGGGACCTGCAGAATCAGACCATGGTCAGGTGGGTGTGAGTGTCTGGGACCCTAGCCAGGCCCTGCCCCGGCGCATGCGGCCCAGCGGCTCTGATGCCAGGAGGGAACCGGCCTCTCTCTGCAGGCAGTTCCAGGGCCACACGGACGGGGCCAGCTGCATTGACATCTCGGACTACGGCACGCGGCTGTGGACAGGTGGCCTGGATAACACTGTGCGCTGCTGGGACCTGCGGGAGGGTCGCCAGCTCCAACAGCACGACTTCAGCTCGCAGGTGCCACTGGCAGTGGGGGAGCCGATTCCCTTCCCACCCTCTGGAGGCGCCCATTTCCAGACACAAGATGGGGCTAAATGTCTGCTGTCAGTGTCCTCTTCCACAGGCCGGGGGATGTAGCTCAGTGGTGCCGCCGCCTGTCTGACAAGCCCAAGGTCCTGAGTTTGATCTCTGGTACCAAAAACAAACAAACCATCCCTATCAGCCCAGCACTCTGGGAGGCTGAGGCAGGAGGATCTCAAGGGCAGGCCCAGCCTGGGCAACTTAGCAACCCAGCTAACCCTGTCTCAAAACAAAAAATAAGAAAGGGCAGGGGTTGGAGCTTAGTGACCTTCAGTACTGGAAACCTAAAAAGGATACAAATTCACCAGTCCTCCACTTTAATTCCCCCAAACTGCGGAGAAATTTAGACCTGAATTGCTATTAAGCTGGGAGTGTGGAGAGCCTCCGACCATCTTTCTGCAGCCCAGCGGCTCCCTCACCCAGTTTCTCCACACAGCTGGTTTCTCTTCCCAGCCAGCCTCCCTCCTCTGATGCCTTGGGTTGGGGGCCCTCCAGGCACAGAGGCTGACCTGGGCTAGGAGCTGGGTGGTGAGGTGCCCGGTGCAGGCGCCGCAGATGCCTCAGGGACTCCTTAGGGTCAGGGATGGGTTTTGGGGCACCGGAAACGCAGGTTCTGCCTGCCAGGGTTTCGGGGTAGGGCGGGAGGTCCTTGGCCTGTGACTCCGTTTCTTCTGCCCCTCCCCTGTCCACCCTCTGGGAAGCTTCTAGGCTTCTCTCCTCTGGATGAAATGCTTTCCCCCTCTTTCTCCGATTGGTGAACTCCTCCCTCATCCTTCAAGACCCACCTAGGATTTTGCTCTCCGTCCTTGAAACCTGGCTGGGGGGCGGACACGTGACTTATCTTCCAAACTCTTTCTGTACTATTTTTGTGGTTCTGGGGATCACACCCGGGACCTTCACATTGAGCTACATCCTTAGCTCTCTTTTTTGTTTTGTTTGTTTTTTTTTGAGGCAAGATCTTGCTTTATAATTTAGGCTGGCCTTGAACTCACTGTGTAATTTAGGCTGGCCTCCAACTCATGGCAATCCTCCAGCCTGGGCCTCCCAAGTGCTGGGATGACAGGCATGCATCAACACACCCAGCTTTATTCTTTATTTTGAGACAAGATCTCACTAATTTGCCCAGGCTGGGCCTGAATTTGAGATCCTCCTGCCTCAGCTTCCCAGAGCACCAAGATGACTACAAGTCAAGATATCTGGTTTCTTCCAACTCAGTATCCTTTCTGCTGCCTTCTTTGGCTTGATGATTTTCCCTCTCTCTCTCTCTCTTCCCCGACACGGACTCTCATTATGTAGTCCAGGATGACTTCAGCCTCCCTCTGTAGCCCTTGCTGGCCTCATGATCCTCCTGCCTCAGCCTCCCGAGTGAACTCAGAGGTGCAGGTGGACACAGCTGTCCATGCCGTGTCCCCTGAAGCTTGAGTGGACGATGCCCGTTTCTGGGGACCTGTGGGAGCACTTCCTGTCCCACTGGCCCTCCCCACTTCGTTCAGCTGTTTTCCTGTGTGGCCAGGAAGGAGCACTGAGTTCCTCCTGCAAGCTACACTGGAAATCTCCGGGTCACTGCCGCACACACCTCATCTGTGAGGAGCTTCCCGGGGCCTGGGTGGGTCACAGCCTCACCCCCTGGATGCTTAGGGCTGGGAGAACTTGGAGCCCTTTCACATCAAAACGAAGAAAGTATTGGCCAGGCCTGGTGGCACACGCCTGTCATTCCAGTACTCGGGAGGCCGAGGCAGGAGGCTCCAGTTCGAGGCCAGCCTGGGCTGCACAGTCAGACCCTGGCTCAAAACACTGAAACCCCAAAAGCAGGCGAGGCCAGCAGCCGAGCTCCAGACTGGATCTCAAGAGTCCTGTCTCCCAGGCTCTGTGTTTGACCGACTCCCTGCCGTGTGACCTTGGGCCCCTGCCGTCCTGGCTTCCACCATCTGTTAAAGGGAGCCACCATCCCCGTCCTTCTGGCCTCCCACCACTCCCTGCTCCCTCCCAGGCTGCTGTTCGCCAGGAGTGGATAATGGATATGCAGCCCGGGGCTTCTGGGTAATGCTGATTAATATTAATGATCCGACGCACAGAGCCTGCTGTGCTCCTGCCTGGCCCTGCCAGCTGCTGCTGTCCGCCGGGGCTGATGTGGGAGAGGGTGGCCCCCTCCCCTGCCGGCCCCTACAGGTCAGGAGCTTCCCTGACCCCCACAGGGCTCCAGGAGCCCGGATGGAGGAGCATTCCTGTCGTCCAAATTGTTTGGGAGGCTGAGGCAGGAGGATCCCAAGATCGAGCCCAGCCTGGGCAACTCAGGAACTTAGTGAGACCCTGTCTCAAAATAAAATTAAAGAGGGCCAGGGATTTAGCTCAGCGGTTCTGCTGCCTGCCTCACAAGTGTAAGGTCCTGCGTTTGATTCCTAGTGCCCCAAAACATAAAATTTAAAAAATCAAAGGGCTAGAGTGTGCTCCCCTTGCTTGTCTAGCAGGGCAGGGCCTTGGGTTCCATCCCCAGCACCAAAATAAAATATCCGTAAGGGCCCAGGAGCTGTCTCTTTCCCATTGCCCTAGATCTTCTCCCTGGGCCACTGCCCCAACCAGGACTGGCTGGCCGTGGGCATGGAGAGCAGCAATGTGGAGATCCTGCATGTCCGCAAGCCTGAGAAGTACCAGCTACACCTCCATGAGAGCTGTGTCCTCTCCCTGAAGTTTGCCTCCTGTGGTACGTCTGCCCCGGTCCCCACAGGTGCTCTTGGAAGCTGGGCTCAAAACTTAAAGTCCTCCTGCCTCAGCCTCCCGGAGTGCTGGGGTGACAGGAGAGTGCCACATCCATGCCTGGTGACTTTTATTTTGGAGGGGGGATGTACTAGGGATCAAACCCAGGGCCTCACTCAACAGAGCCAATGCCCGGGTGTGGCGGAGCAGTCCTGTCATCCTGGCTGCTTAAGAGGTGGAGGCAGGAGGGTCCCAGTTTTGAATCCAGCTTGGGTAACTTCACATGACTTGGTCTCAACATTGAAAGTTTAAAGAGGGCTGGAGATGGAGCTCACTTGAAGGTTCTGGGTTTGATTCCTAGAGCCACAAGAGATAAAAAATAGAGCAGGGGAGGACATTCTTAGGTCTGTAGACCCTGTCCCTCAGCTTGCTGCTTCCCCAGGGCGATGGTTCGTGAGTACCGGCAAGGACAATCTGCTCAATGCCTGGAGGACACCATACGGAGCCAGCATCTTCCAGGTACCCCAGGAACTGCCCCCCGCACTCCTGCTACCTGACCCCTACCTCGGGTCTGCGCACCTCTGTGCTATGCCACTGCTAAAGCAAGGCATGACAGATGCATCTCTCACCGAGCACAGCGTCCTGGCAAGTATCGCAGCCTTGCTCCTTTTCCTGGCTGTGTAATATTCCACTGTGTGGACAGACCTAACTGTGTGAGGCCTTCGTTCCTCTGTAGACACTGAGTTCTTTTCCCTCCTTGGCTGCCAGGAAATGTGCTGTGTTGAACATCTGTGTACCATTTTCCCAGTTTCCCTCTGTCTTGGGCAGATGCTCTGGAGGGGAATTTCCCATGAGCCCGTTGAACTGGGCAGTTCCCAGATTTTACATTCCCACCAGCAGGGGAGGGTTCTGGAATCCCCACACCCTTGCTGACAATTACTGTCTTTTAAAAAAATCATACCCTGGGGAGGTAGGGGAGGGGGTTATGGAGTAGTATGAGCTGGTGTGGTGGTTCGGGCCTGGAATCCAAGGGGGTGGGGACGGAAAGAGGGGGGAGCGGGGAAACAAAAGCTGTAAAAAACTAACGACAACGAACAGGAAACACAGTTTTTTGTGTTTTTTTTGGTACCAGGGATCGGACTTGGGTCCTTGAGCTTGCAAGGCAGGCCACCGAACCGCTGAGCTAAATCCCCCGCCCTGTCTTGGGTATTGAGATGACAGGTGTGCGCCATTGCGCCTGCCCAGAAATAACCATTTTTTGAAAGTGCCTTTTAATACAGGTAGCCAATTCTTTTGTCAGGCTACAGTTGGGGAAAATCACCTCAAGCAGTCTTTATCTTGTAAGAAAAAAGTGTTGGATAGCTGATGTAATTTATCCAACGCTGTCCAAAATGACAAACAGCAGTCGTGCAGGTACCTTACTCACTGTGGTAAACTCAAGCCGCCGTGAGTCAAGCCACCGTTAGTTGGGACCGTCTACCTATCTATCTCTAGAAGACATGTTGCCCTCCTCCCACTAGAGGCATTGGTGACGGTCCCACCTAGGGGCGCACATGGGTCCCATCCTCCTCCGCGTCCTCTGGAGGTCAGGAGCTTTGCACCGGCTGAGCTAACGTGGGCTGTCCTCACCTGACCTCTCCTTTCCCTCTCTCCTGCCCCGTAGTCTAAGGAGTCCTCCTCTGTCCTGAGCTGTGACATCTCCAGGAACAACAAATACATCGTGACAGGCTCCGGGGACAAGAAGGCCACCGTGTATGAAGTGGTCTACTGAGGCCCCAGTGCTCACCGGCTGAAGCCCCCCACAACCTCCCTTCCCTGCTGGGGTGGGGTCAGTGGGCCCAGGGTTCTGGGGAATAAATGTATTTATCACAGCGGGCCTGGGACAGACCGAGACTGGTTCTCACCTTCCTGTGTGACTGCAGGGGATGAGAACCCATCCTGGAACCAGGATTGGTAATGGGAGGTCACGGGCAGGATGGTCAGGCAGAGCCCAGCAGCAAGCACCCCCGATTCTTTCACTTAAAGCGGGCTGATAGGCACCCAAGTGGCCACTTGGAGCACGATCTGGATCTCGGGGAGACCTCCGACACCTCCTGTGGCAGAGATGAACTTTCCACCGCTTTTAATATTTCCATCAGTGCATATTTGATTTACAAAATATAGATGTGGTTTTATTTTTGTGGTGCTAGGCATGGAACCAGGCAGGGGTCTTCACGCTTCATTCCTAGCCCATTTTTTCCACTTTATTTTGAGACAAGGTCTCGCTGTGTAGCCCAGGCTGGTCTTGAACTCACAGCGATCCTCCTGCCTCAGCCTCCTGAGTGCTGGGATTACAGGAGTGCGCCACCACGTCCAGCTTACCAACAGTTTTAATATCAGCACTGTGTACAACACCCCACTGCCCGTCCCATGTTAGCACTCTGGTGACCAACACAGATGTCCCTGCTCTGTTCAGCGTCCCCTGAGGCAGTCACCTCCTGGTCCCCAGAGACTCAGGAAGAACCTCACTCCCCACCCCATCCCTGCCAGAAGTGATGGTCACCACCTCCCTCGGCCCCCTTCTCCAACAGTGTGTGGCAGAAAGCGGCCTGTCAGGGACAGAGACACCAGTGTTGCTCTTTCCCTTTTGCTTTATTTCGTGGGACACACCCTGGTCCCCAGGCCCCCGGCCGCACACTGCAGGGAGCCTGGCAACCTCTCTGCTCCTCCTCGGGAGCCCGCACCGCACCGGTGACAGCGGGAGGCCTCAGTAGGAGAGCTGGTACACAGAGGCCCAGGCCTGGCAGCCCGTGACGATCAGCTTGTTGCTGGCGGATACATCGCAGCAGGTGGTGCAGGATTTCTCCAGCAGCTGGAACTCCGTGTACCCCGCGGGCATGCTGTGAATGGTGGTCAGCTTGTCCGTGCCGACGCTTACCCACCACTGACCTGGGGACACAGACAGGCTCCGGAGACACCGGAGAGGCCACCCAGTCTCTCTCTGGTCTCCTGCTGCGGTTGAGGACCCCGGGGCATTGGAGGGCAGGGCGGGGCTGCACCTTGGAGGTGGGGACTTGGTGGAGCGCTTACCGTACGGGGAGAACTTGAGCCCCAGGACGGCGCCGTTCTTGTGCCCCGCCGCGTGCGCCTGGCCCCTGAGGGTGGACTGCAGCCAGTGCTGCCCGCTGGCCAGGCCCACGAGCAGCCAGTCCTCCCAGAGGCTGTGCGACAGGCTCGTGATCTGAGACTTGAAGAGATGCTTCTGGGACTTGCGAGCTGCCCTGAGGTCCCAGCACTGCAGACAGCCGTTCAGGCCCCCTGTCCAGACTGTGTCGTCTTTAATCACCGCGCTGTTGGCCTCACCCTGCCGGCCAGGAAGGTCTTTGACCACGTTCCGATCCCGGACATCCCAGATCCTGACGGTGCCGTTGCTGAAGCCGGCGAAGGCCAGGCTGCCTTTGAGGTCGGCGTCCAGGGCCTGGCACCTGGCAGGACATTCAGGCCCCCTGTCCAGACCGTGTCATCTTTAATCACCACGCTGTTGGCCTCACCCTGCCGGCCAGGGAGGTCTCTGCTCAGGAGAGATGCCGTTGTGGGACTCTGCGGCTGTGCTCCTGGGTATTTCACCACCCCGGGCCAAATGCTACTGAACTTCCCATCTCCAGCCCTTTTTTAAAAATTTTAAGACAGGGTCTGGATGGCCTCGAACTCACAGGGATCCTCCTGCCTCAGCCTCCCGAGTGCTGGGATGACATGAAGGCCAAATGCTACTGAACTTCCATCTCCAGCCCTTTTTTAAAAATTTTAAGACAGGATCTGGATGGCCTCGAACTCACAGGGATCCTCCTGCCTCAGCCTCCCGAGTGCTGGGATGACATGCACCCCCACACCTGGCACAAGAATTCTTTGAATAATTGAGCTGTACGGGCTGCCATCCTAGCTACTCAGGAGGCTGAGGCAGGAGGATGGCAAGTTTAAGCCCAGTCTGGGCAATTTAATGAATTAGGCCCTGTCTCAAAGAGATTTAAAAAGGGCTAGGGGCATAGCCCAGTGCTACACCTAAATGAAAAGAATCATTTGGTTTTGGGGCTGTCACTCCCTGTCAAGATGGGGAAACTGAGGCAAACAAGTAGAAATGTCTTGATTCTAAAAAATGAGCCCAGCCTAGATCGAAATGTCTTTGAGGTTCCCAAATGCAAATCCAAGGCAGTGAAACCCCTTTTGGGCTTTGAGGGCACCGAGTCCCTGCCTGGCCTCTTCCCGTCACCCCTCAGGCCGTACTTGACCACGTTCCGATCCCGGACATCCCAGATCCTGACGGTGCCGTTGCTGAAGCCGGCGAAGGCCAGGCTGCCTTTGAGGTCGGCGTCCAGGGCCTGGCAGGAGAGCCCCTCGCAGGACAGCTGGCTTGGGTTGTGCAAGTCCGGCGCCAGCAGGTCCCAGACATTCACGCCCGACAGGCCGTGGCCGCCGGCGAAGAGCATCTTGCCGTTGGGGGCCAGCATGCAGGTGGACAGGAAGGCGCCCGGGGTCTGGATGGGCCAATGCAGGTGGCTCTGGGGGAAGGTGTCCTGGGCCTCCCGGCCGCCCAGCCTCCACACCTTGAGGCCGCCCGGGCCGCAGGTGAACACGTGGCGCGTGAGGCTGTTCACGGCCGTGGCGAGGACGTGGTGCCCATGTTGCAGCATGTGCAGCCTCTGCACCTTGTAGGGCAAGCCCAAGCTCTCGGACTGGCCCCGTGGGGCGCCTGGGCGCAGCCACGTTTTCCCGAAGACCTCAGGGTCCTGGAATCTGCAGAGGAGCGGGAGGGAGGAATTGGGGAGCCCCGCCTGTCGGTGGGGGGGCTCCTGTGCCCTGCGAGAGCCTCCTACCAAGCTCAAAAGCAGTTTTGTTTTTTTTCTAGATATTAGGAAACCTTATTCTCAGGCCATTATCTTCCCTCTAGACTCCCTGCAAAATCCTAACCACACTCCTCCAAATACTTTCCCTCCGTCAAACCATATGCTTGTCCCTTTTGCCTAATACAGCAAACTCCTATTCATCCTTTAGGGTCCCAACTATTATGCCCCTTCCTCCAACCTCACTTGTCTGTGTAGAGCTCTAACACAGCTGCCTCCACACTCCTGTTTTACAGGTCAATTCCTTCCCCAATCCCTCGAACCCGGAACTGCTTATAATAGGAACAGGGAGGCCCGGGGATTTAGCTCAGCGGTTCGGTGGCCTGCCTAAGGACCCGAGTTCAATCTCGGTACCAAAAAAAAAAAGGAACAGGGAGTGAGGTTCGAGTGAAGTCACTCTGCTTGGAGGGGATGGCCTGGTGATGACAGGAAAGGGACAGAAATGTACAGCCCTGGGGCCAGAGGGACAGATGGGCAGCCTACGGTGCAGACACTCACGTGGGCCTCAGGAATGGGTGGGCTTTTCGGTCCAGCGCCTGCAGGGACGAGAGAGCATGGCTGTCCCCTGCCCTCCCTCCCTACGCCTCTCACCAGCAGGTGGTGCCCGCCGGGGTCTCACCTGCTGCCCTCTGGGGGCCTTGGTGAAGTCCTCCTTGAGGTCCTCCCAGGAGCTGGAGGAGAGCTCTGCCGAGTCAGTTCCTGGACAGGGACAGCGGCGCCTGAGCAGGGGTCCGGCCACGGACACGCTGTCCCTCCCTCTCGCTCCCAGTAGGGTCCTTACCTGAATCCTCCTCTTCCGACTTTGCCTCCAAGTTCAGCAGCGCGGGACCCGCGGCTCCGCGCCCTCTGGAGGGAATCGCATCAGCCCCCCGACTCTGCTGGCCCCGGACTGTCCCGCTGGTCCACCTGCGGCCTTTCCACTGCGGCGGGAAGGGTCACCACCCTGCGTGAGTGACCGCCTTCCCGAGTTCAGGGGGCCCCACCGCCGGGCGCCCCGAGTGCGGGTGTCTACTCACCGGGCCTGGCTCCCGCTCTGTCACCACGGCGGAGGAGAGAGGGACACAGCCACAGGGCAGCGTCAGTTAGCGAGTCCCAGACACGGCCCCGGGCCGCCACCCCGAGGGGACACTCACTTCTGGCGGTCTGTGCTGCCAGCTTGTTTTGGTAAGCGAAGGTCTCCCGGAGGTCCTTGGTGAGGATGTTCGGGCGGAGCTGGGCCTCAGGCCCGCAGGACAGGAGAAGGGATGGCTGGGGTCTCTGCGTCCCCGGGCACTTGCAGGAGGCTGGCTTCGTCTTTTCCTGCTTGAACTGTTTCCTGGAGGAGACCCGGCCTCCCTGGCCCAGCGAACCTGGGGGCTGGAAGGGGCTCACTACCTAGAGAGGTCGGTGGGGAGATGGGGAGACCTGGGCTTGGGCTCGGCTTCCCCAGGCACAGATGGGAGAGAGCCCGGCCAGTGGCCCACGCCCGCCAGCCTGCACTCGGGAGGCTGAGGGGCTGTGAGTTCCAGCTCCCTGCCTGGCCAATGTAGCGTCTTTGCAAGAAGACCCCAAAAGAGAAAAAAACAGTGGGCTGAGGATGTAGCTCAGTGCGAAGGCCCTGGGTTCCATCCCTGGTATTGATTGAAAAAAAATTTTTTTTTTCCTATCAAACAGAAAACCACCTAGGATAGGCACAGTCCGATATGTGAGAGCTAGTGTCAGACGCAGTTGCATGTTCTAGTGGCCACACTGAAGGTATAAAAAAATCGTGGAACCACCTCCATGTTCAACTCTGTTTTTTTGAGGCAGGGTCTCACTATGTAGTTGAGACTGACCTGGAACTCACTGTGTAGCCCAGGCTGGTCTCGAACGCATAGTGATCTTCCTGCCTCAGCCTCCCGAGTGCTGGGATGACAGGCTGCAGGCATGCGCCACCACGCCCAGTCATGGGAACCTAGTTTTCAGCTTCCATTTTATTTTATTATTTGTTTACTTATTTTTTTGGCACCCGGGATCACACTTGGGTCCTTGTTCTTGCAAGGCAGGTGGCGGATCACTGAGCTAAATCCCCGGCTCTGGCTTCCACTTTAGATAAGGACACTTATGTGGGTGAAAGTGGGAAGGGCAGGGGAAAGGCAAGAAAGGGAAAGAAAAAAATGTGAGAAAACTAAAAAGTGGAAACAAAGTCTTTGTAAACAGGGAAGGGAGGAGGGGGTGAAGGGAGGGCAGGGACAAGGGGAAAAATGAGAACCAAGACCTGTCATGTAAAGGTACAAGATCCCAATGATGAATGTAACTGTACTGTATCCCTAAAAAGTACCAATACACTTAGTGGAAAAAAAATTGTTACTGCCAAAAAGGAAAATAAACAAATAGTGACACATAAACCAGGCAGGCTGGCACACATCTGTGATCCCAGCCCCTTGGGAGGCTGGGGTGGGAGAATTTTGTTTATTCCTGTTTTGGGGGGTGGGGTGGAACTGGGTTCTTGTGCCTGTGAGGCAGGCGGCGGAACCACTGAGCTCCCAGCCCTCCCGTTGTTTTTTGAGTCAAAGCCTTGCTGAATAATCCAGGCTGGCCTTGAATTGGAGGGGAGCCGCCTGCCTCAGCCTCCAGAGTGCTGGGATTGTGTACAGGCCTGCAGCACCACACCCAGTCCAGGAGAATTTTGAGTTTGAGCAAGGCCTGGAAAATTTAGCAAGGCTCTGTCTCAAAAACAAAACAAACCAGATGAGCTGGGTGTGGTACCTCACGCCTGTAATTCCAGCACTCAGGAGGCTGAGGCAGGAGGATCGCTGTGAGTTTGTGAATTCTAGGTCAGTCTCAACTACATAGTGAGACCCTGCCTCAAAAAAACAAAACAAAACAAAAAAACACCAGAAAACAGCACTAAACCGTGAGAAGGCTGAGTCATGAAGATCACCTAGAGAGGCAGGTGTGTAACTCCAGGTGTGTGAACGCCTGTAACCCTTGAGGCTGAGACAGGAGAACATGCAGATTCAGTGGGATACTGTCTCAGAATTAAAAACTATGCTGGTGTGGTGTAATCACACACCGATAATCCCAGCACTTTAGGAGGCTGAGGTAGGAGGGTCAGCAGGAGTTGAGGCCAGGCTGGCCTCCATAGTGGGAGGCGCTGTCTCAAAATAAATAATAATAAAAAATATATATATAAAGGGCTAGCTCGGTGCAGGCCCTGGATTCAATCTTCAGTAGTGAAACAAAAACAACAAAACGGGCAGAGGACTGCATCTGGGGCCACTGCCGCAAGGCTGACCCTACTCGCAGGTGATTCGCAGTGAGATTCAGATGATCAAAACCGCCTGCGGGCCTCTGGGAGAGAGGGGAGCCGCAGGGTTCCCCTGCCCGTTCCCCACCCCCACCCCGGCTTTGGGGTGCGGATCCAGACAGGGAGGGCACCCGCACCCTCGGCCGAACCCGGGGGCCCCCATCCGCCCGACTCCTCGGGGTGCAATTTCCCAGCACCTCCCTGGGGCCTTGTCGGGTGGGGCGGGGACAGTGATTCCTGTGCGTGGCCCCTCCTCCACACCCGGGTTCTCCGCGTCTGCTGGGGGTCCCGCCCCCAAAGCCCATTCGCCAGTCCAGGGGTGGGGGGGACACACAATAATAGGTATTGAAACCAAGGCCTTTGCACCCAGCTCCGTCCGCAGCCCATTTTAAAGTCTCGAGACCGGATCTCACTACCTCTCTACATTGCCCAGGCTGGGTTCAAGCTTGTGATCCTCCTGCCTCAGCCTCCCAAGTGTTGGGATGACAGACCACTCTGGCTCCCGCATCCTTCACCTTGCTTTTCTGTCATCTCCACAGCAGCCACAGTGAACCTGTGAAGTCCCTCCTCTGCCCTCAGCCCTCCAGGGCTCCCACATCCCTGGGGCCAAAGCCCAGGTCCTTCCTGCAGCCCACAGGGCCCAGGCCCCCTCACTGCCCCCCTTCCTCGCCTTGCTCCCTCTGCTCCAGCCACGCGGATACCAGCTCCGTGGGGCCCCAGTGCCTTTGCGTTGCTGTGCCCGTCTCCTGGGATTTCTCCTCTATCCCAGAGGTCCACAACCCGGCTCTGATCTTCTCTCATATGTCACCTTCCCAGTTTTTTTTTTTTTTTTACTTGAGATAGGGTCTGCTATGTAATTCAGGTTGTCCTTGAACTCTCTGTAGCCCAGGCTGGTCTTGAACTCAAAGCGATCCTCCTGCCTCAGCCTCCCGAGTGCCGGGATCACAAGTATGTGTCACCACGCCCAGCAACCTTCCCAGCTTTTCACCTAACCGTCCTGAATTCCAATCTCTCCCACCTCCATTCAGGCCCGTTCCTCACGTGGCCCTCACTGCCTAACAGGAAGCTGCAGGCCGGCTCCCTTCCCCCAGGGCAGCAGGCCCTGCAGTGCCCTTCTCTGCCAATTCCCTGGCATCTATGCAGCGCTGGGCAAGCAGGTGACGGCTGAGCGTCTGTTGGATGAATGGCTGTGTTCTGACTGCTTCCTGCCCCGGGCTGCCCACCCCGGCGCTGCTAAATTGCAGACATGGCCCTGGCCCCCTGCCACGCACAGCTGGCACAGTCGGAGAGGCCTGCCAGGGCCCAGGAGAAAGGGCAGGTGGCAGGAGGGCAGCGGGGACAAGACACAGGCGCTTTGGCCGGGACGTGGTGCCCGGTGCAGACCCCTCCCCATACCACGTGACCGGGACCTCGCTCCACACCTGACCCCCTGAATCCCGAAGAGGCTCCCGGACAGGACCAGGGGCCCTAAGATTTGGGGATCTGTCATCCAGCACTCTGGGAGGCTGAGGCAGGAGGAGCAGAAGGTGGAGGCCGGCCTGGGCAACTCAGAGAGACCCTGTCTCACAATAAAAGAAGCCTGTGGACATAGCTCAGTGCCAAGGCCCTGGGTGCCATCCCCAGCACCAGAGGAGCAAATGATGTGGGGACACAAAGAGGTCCTAGGGTTTCCAAGTCATGACCCTCCCTGCCTACCACCCTAAATGGCTCCCACTTGCCTTGGGCTCAAGCCCTAAGCCCCCCGCCAACCTCTGAGTCCTGGTCACCCACTCACCTTGTCTTGTTCTTGAAGATCCTTCGGCAGCTGGGAGAATTGAACCACACTGTAGGGATTGGGCTGGGAGGTGGCCTCTGGGAGCTGGAAGGAGAGCAGTCCTCCCATCCTTGGCTTCCCCTCCTGTGTGATGCTGGGGCGGGTCTGCCTCTCTGATCTCCTTAAAAAGGTTTCCCCACCAGCTACACCCAAGGGAGGGTAGGGGGTTCAATAGACTTTTCTCTCACTCTGGGTTAAAGGTCCTGGCCTCACTCCTGCTGATCTCCACCCACCCCAGGCCCTGCCTCAGGGAATTCACACAGGCTTTGCTGGCCTCTGCAGGGAGATCAGAGCTTCTAATTATGCACAAACTGTCCTGCAATCCTCCTGCTTCAGCCTCCCCATTGTGGGATTACAGGTGTGAGCTACCACACCCTGCCTGGTATTTAATTTACTTTTGTGTGTGTGTGAGCCTTGTAGTTCAGGCTGACTTTGAGCTGTTTATGTAACCAAGGCTGGCCTCAAATTTGAGGCAGTCCTCCTGCCTCAGCCTCCTGAATGCTGGGATTGTTTTACAATCGGTTTGAATCTTTTTATTGCTTCTCTCTTTTTCTAGACTGCCTTGCTCTTTGAGTAGCCACTAAGCCAGCTTGGCTACTGACATAAAGTTTTTTAAAATTTAGGTTTGTGTGTGTGTGATGGGAGCCTTAGGACTGAGCTACATATTTCATATTTTCAGGCAAGGTCTAAATTGCTAAGTTGCCCAGCTGGTCTTCTCTTTGCCACCCTCCTGCCTCAGCCTCCCGGAATGCTAAAGTCACAGGTGTCTGCCACCACAACCAGCTAGCAACGTACTAGTTTTAAAAACTGCCCAGAAAGAAGTCAAAGGATTAACTTACTTGCCCAAAGGGAGTGAAAATATAGGAGGAGGAAGGGTCCCCTAACAGGGCCTGAGCCAGAGGTGGGGGGCAGGGACCCCCACAGCCTGGCCTTGTCCCCCTGGTGAGACTGCTGGATCGGTTCTAAGGGATGGGGAGAGAGGTTTGGCGTCACCCGGGAGCCAGAAAGGATTTGTAGTTTTCTTCTTTCCAGGACTGAGAATTGAACCCACGGCCTTCGCACTGAGCTTCATCCCCAGCCCTTTTTATTTATTGTTTATTCTGAGACAGGGTCCTCTAAGTCCCTAAACTGCCCAGGATAAACTCAAACTTGCGATCCTCCTGCCTCAGCCTCCCAAAGTGCAGGGGTGCACTGCGTCTGCAGTTCTCTGATAAGATTTTTAATGCAATTTTTAAAAAAAAAATCAGATGGAATGCAACTGAACCCATGCTGAACGGGGGCGGAATGGATTTTCTGGGGCAAAGCCAGGCCACTGCAGGGGCCCTTTGAGAAACAAAGTGGTTCCTTCCCAGGGTGGGGCCTCAAGGCCCTGGAGCAAGGATCGCCTGGCCTGGGGAATTAGTTCCTGAGACCCATAAAGCTGGGACTCAGAGCTCAGGGGCTCAGAAATCACTGACATCACAGGGCCTTGCTGGAATGGTTAAAGCAAGCACTCAGGAGGCTAAGGCAGGAGGATCGCTCATGAGTTTGAGTACAGCCTGACCTTGTCTCAAAACAGATAAATAAGCAACAATAATAAAACCTATAGGTCCTTCCAAAACACTGCAGCCTCCACCCTACAGAGGGCAGGGTGGGAGCTTCTAGCATAGGGAGTTAATTTGCTTTCTCTCTCATAAGTTTGTTTTGTTTTTTGAGACAGGGTCTTGCTATGTAGCTCAGGCGGGCTTTGAACTCAGCGATCTTCCTGCCTCAGCCTCCCAAGCACTGGAATCATAGGCGTGTGCCACCACGCCCATCTTGCTCTTGTTATATAGGTTGGAGCCCCTACCCCCATTCCCAAAATACTCATATTTGCTTTGACTCTGGGGAGACGACATAACTTTGATCACAATATAATTGTTTCATTATTAGTTATTGTTATAAATATCTAACTATGTGTGTTGCTTTCTTTAGAGGCAGGCTGAGTTCAGGCTGGCCTAGAACTCACAGGGATCCTCCTGCCTCGGCCTTCGGAGTGCTGGGTTCACTGGTGTGCGCTACCATTCCTGACTAAACTTTGTCATAGAACGGTAGGTATAGATAGGAAAAGCGTTTAAGTATATCAAGGGCTGGAGGGAATTACTGAACAAACGTATGTTCTTTCACATCCGGGCCTCCAAGTCTAAGCTCCCCCCGGAAGTCTAGAGTGGGAGAGCGGAGGAGGAGCTCCAGGCCTTATCGGCCGTCAGGCCGCACAGAGAGGCCAGCCCAGCGCTGGTCACTGTGGGCCCCAATATCAGCAAGGCCAGAACCCCAGATCCGCGCCGGGGCCCTCTCCAACTTGCCCTCCTCACCAAGTTCCTTTCGGGGCCTCAGCTGATTCCTGGGGACAGAAGTGGCCAGGCCCCAGGCCCCGGGTACTGGTTCCTCCGCAGGTTCCACCCCAGGTCTTGGGAGTCTCTGGCTTCCCAGATTCAAGTGGAGCCCCAGGAAAGTCTGAGCCTCCAGGGGGTGCAGCACCGGAGAAGTCCTGTCCCCAAGCTGAACCTTGCCCCATACCCCTAGGCCTCAGCACTGGGAATGAACTTCTCACACTGAGCTACACCAGCCCTTTTTTTGCGGTACTGGGCATCAAGCTCAGGACCATGATCGGCTTTGTTTATGTTTTTGTTGTTGTTGTGGGTGGTGGTGGTGGTGGTTTGAATGGTTTCCTTCAGACAGGGTCTCACTATGTAGCCCAGGCTGGCCTTGAACTCCTGGCGATCCTCCTGCCTCAGCCTCCTGCGCGCTGGGATTACAGGTGTTGGCCTCCACGCCCAGCGAACTTTAGCTTTGAAAGTTTCCTAAAGCACAGGAGCTCTTGACAGTGGGTTTTGAAGGACGAGTAGGAATTAGCTCTGGGAAGTAGCTAGAATTTATGACAGGAAAAGAGCTCTCTTCTCTGGTCACTCCCCAGCAGCAAGCTCTACCTGGCCTCAGTTTCCACCCTGGAGATGCCTCCAGCTCCCTCCCCAGCCCGGGAACCCCGCAGTGCCCTCCTGGAAGCAGCTTGCCCACCCAGCTCGAGGAGCGCCAGAGGGGCAGGGGTCAGCTCAAGCCACTGAGGTCGGCCCAGCTCCGGCCGGAGGAAGCCTCACCCCCCGCCCTCAGGCC